ACTCCAGCAGTGTGTGCCACTGTAGATACAGAGGGAGGGAGAGCTTGGTGAACTGCACCTTTTTGAGTCCAGCTGGGATCCCACAGGATAGCCGGGTAACTGCTCTCACGGTGTGGGGGTAGGGAGAAAACAGCCTGTCTCTCTCTCTGCCCCTCCCTCCTACAACAGCAACCTGCAGCCCATGTGGGATGGCTGGGACCATTTTTGAACACAGGCACGCAGCAGCCACCCCAGCTTGCCTGCACATATCCAGCAATTGTTGGGGTCGCCCTCTACCCAGTCAGCACCACAGCAGTGCAAGAGCAACTGCTGGAGACAGTCACCACTGTGCCAGCTGCCACTACCTAGCAACAGGAGGGGATGGTGCAGCCTGTGGGACTCACTTATGCACCCAGCACAACTGTGAAATGAGCAGGGCTGTAGCCGGCAGTTATTGTGTACACCTGTGATCCAGAGAGCCTACAACCTGCATACCCCACTGGCATCAAATCTGGTTGTGAGAACAGGACTTGATCCATTATGCTGGAACAAATCCAGACAGTGGCCCTGGGAGCACATCAGTCCCTCTGCAGTCAGGACAGGTTAGCAGAGTGGAGGGGCTACACTTGTACTCCTTGACCCAGAGGGCCCTGGGTGCTGAGACTGAGAAAACACAGTGATTGTTTGAGAGGAGACAAGGTGCAGCTGAGTTCTGGGCAATCACATAGTGCTGTGGTAGATTCTCAGAACTCCTTGGTTGCCTAGAGAAGCTCACGGCAGGAGGAACAGTGCTCACAGGAGGGGCTGTGCAGATCATACATGCAGTTCATACAGTAGTTCAGATGAGTGTTGAACACACTGGGGGCTAAACTTGGGCACTCCTTAGCTTGGAGAAGGAGTGGTTGCACCAACAGAGGTGACCATTTCTCTCCATTCAGTTAGCAAGAGGAAAGCTACCACACCCAACTTGGGCCTTACCTCAGATACTTACCCCATCCTGGGGCACGGACCAGAACTCCCTGGCCACACTCACCACATCTTGGTATTCACTCAAAGTATAGACATTTCACTAAGCCACAGAGACATAGCTCAAAGATAAAAAGCCATCAGAAGAAAAAAATTCTACAAATGCCTAAGAATAAATGCAAAAATTCAGAAAACAAGAATAAGGAAGACACTATGTCTTTCACAAAGGAGTATGATATTTCAATATTAGAATGTGAAGATGAAGAAATTGAGGAAATGCAATTCAAAAAACTAAAACTAATCATAGGATTCCTCAAAAGTAATCAGAAGCAAATCTATGAGCTAAAGAAAACCATATATGATAGGAATGAAAAATTTTCCTATGAAATTCAGATTTTAAAGAGAAAAATGAAATACTAGAAGTGAATAATTCAATAGATCAAATAAAAAATGCAGTAGAAATCCTTAACAATCGAGTTGGTGAGGTAGAAGAAAGAATATCTGAGCTTTAAGACAAATCTGGAAATTTTATAGTCAGACCAAAAACAAGAAGAACAAATTAGAAAGCTTGAAGACAATGTTAGAGATTTATGGGATACTATCAAATGATCCAACAAATGGGTCTTAGGAGTGCCTGAAGTAGTGGCAAAAGAGAAGAGATTAGAAGGCCTACTTAGTGAAATAATTACAGAAACCTTCCCTCACTTGGAGAAGGGAATGTCCAAGTACAGGAAGCACATAGGACTCCTAAAAGATATGACCAGAAAACATCTTCATCATGACCCATTGTAGTCAAACTTTCCACAGTAAGGCATAAAGAAAAGATTTTAAAATGTGCTTGAGAGAAAAGCCAGATTACCTTCAGAGGATCTCCAATTAGAACCACAGCTGACTTCTCAGCAGAAACCCTGCAGGCTAGAAGGCAATGGCAAAGGTCTAAAGTTAGATATAGACTCCAATATAATATTAGTAGGAGATTTCAATATCCCACTTTCATCAATGGATAGATCAACCAGACAGAAAATCAACAAAGAAACAACAGAGCTAATTGACACTATGGACTAAATGTACCTAACTTATATCTACAGAACTTTTCACCCCACAGTTGCAGAATACACATTCTTCTCAGCAGTGCATGGAAGGAACTTTCTCCAGGATAGACCATATACTAGGCCATAAAGCAATTTAAAAAAAATGAAAATCATACCATGTACCTTCTCTGATCACAATGGATTGAGATCAAAACCAATGACTCAAGAATCTCAAGAACATGTGCAAACACATGGAGACTGAAAAATATTCTCCTAAATGAACAGTGGGTCATAAAAGAAATCAAAAGAGAAATTTAAAAATTTCTGGAATATAATGAAAATGACAATACTGCATATCAAAACTTCTGGGAGGGGCCAGCACTGTGGCAATGCTGGTAAAGCCACCACCTGCAGTGCCTGCATCCTGTATGGGTGCTGGTTTGAGTCCCAGTTGCTCCACTTCCCATCCAGCTCTTTGCTATGGTCTGGGAAAGCTGTAGAAGATGGCCCAAGTTCTTGGACCTCTGCACCCACATGGGAGACCCGGCAGAAGCTCTTGGCTCCCAGCTTCAGATTGGCACAGCTCCAGCTGTTACGACCATTTGGGGAGTGAGCCAGCAGATGGAAGATCTCTCTCTCCCTCTCTCTCTGCCTCTCTTTCTCTCTTTCTGTGTAGTTCTGACTTTCAAATAAATAAATAAATCTTAAAAAAACTTATGGGATACAGCAAATGAAGTGTTAAGAGGGAAGATTATAGCAGTTCCTACATCAAGAAACTGGAAAGTCACCAAATAAATGAGCTATCAAAGCACCTCAAGGAGCTAGAAAAACAACAACAAACCAAACCCAAAATTAATAGGAGGAAAGAAATAATTAAAATTAAGGAAGATATAGGCCGGCGCCGCGGCTCACTAGGCTAATCCTCTGCCTTGTGGCGCCAACACACCAGGTTCTAGTCCCAATCAGGGCGCCGGATTCTGTCCCGGTTGCCCCTCTTCCAGGCCAGCTCTCTGCTGTGGCCTGGGAGTGCAGTGGAGGATGGCCCAAGTCCTTGGGCCCTGCACCCCATGGGAGACCAGGAGAAGCACCTGGCTCCTGCCTTTGGATCAGGGCGGTGCACCGGCCGCAGCGCGCTGGCCGCGGTGGCCATTGGAGAGTGAACCAACGGCAAAGGAAGACCTTTCTCTCTGTCTCTCTCTCTCACTGTCCATTCTGCCTGTCAATAAATAAATAAATAAATAAGGAAGAAATAAACAAAATTGAAATAAAAGATACAAAAGATCAGTGAAATTAAGAGGTTTTTTTTTTTTTTGGAAAAAAAATAAACAAAATTGGCCCACCGTTGACCCAACTAACCAAAAAAAAGAGGGAAAAGATCCAAATCAACACAACCAGAGATGAAAAAGGAAATGTAACAACAGATACCACATAAATAAAAAGAATCATCAGCAAATACTACAAGGAGCTGTTTTCCACAAAATCGGGAAACCTAGAAGAAATGAATAGAATCCTGGACACTAAATTGAGTTATGAAGACAAAGAACACCTAAACAGTCCAATAACCAAAACAGAGATTGAGTCAGTGATAAAGACCCTTCCAACAAAGAAAAGCCTGGGTCCTGTTGGCTTCACTACTGAATTCTACCAGACATTTAAAGAAGAACTAATTCCAATTCTTCTCAAGCTATTCAAAACAATTTTAAGGGAGAGAAACCTCCCAAACTCCTTCTATGAAGCCTGCATCACCTTAATTCCTAAGCCAGAAAAAGCTACAACAGGGAAAGAGAACTATAGACCAATATCCCTGATGAACATGGACACAAAAATCCTCATAAAATACTAGACAATCAAATCAAACAACATATCAAAAAGATCATTAATCCAGACCAAGTGGGATCTCTTCCTGGTATGCAGGGATGGTTCAATACCCAAAAATCAATGAATGTGATTAACCACATCAACAAGCTGAATACCAAAAACCATATGATTATCTAAATAGATGCAGAGAAAGCATTTGGCAATATTCAACACCGTTTTATGATGAAAACATTAAGCAAATTGAGTATAGAAGGAACATTCCTCAACATAATCAAAGCAGTTTATATACATACCCACAGCCAGCATCCTACTGAATGGGGAAAAATTCATGGCATTCCCAATAAGATCTGGAACCAGACAAGGATGCCCACTCTCACCATTGTTATTTAATACCAAGGACATCAAAGATCTCTATGATGAAAATTATAAAACATTAAAGAAAGAAAGAGAAGAAGACATAAAAAAGTAGAAAAATCTTTCATGTTTGTGGATTGGAAGAATCAACATCTTCAAAATGTCCATACTACTGAAAACAATTTATAGATTCAATGCAATACCAATCAAAATATCAACAACGTTTTTCTCAGATCTTGAAAAAATAATGCTAAAATTCATATGGAAACACAAGAGACCCTGAATAAATAAAGCAATCTTAAACAACAAAAACAAAGCCAAAGGCCTGACAATACCAGACCTCAAGACATACCAAAGGGTAGTTATAATCAAAACAGCCTGGAACTGGCAAAAAAAACAGCTGTGTAAACCAATGGTGCAGATTAGAAACTCCAGAAATAAGTCCACACATCTACAACCAACTTACTTCGTCAAAGCAGCAAAATATCAACTCCTGGAGCCAAGATAGTCTCTTCAACAAATGATGCTTGGCAAACTGGATCTTTACATGCAGAAGTATTAAACAAGACCCCTACTTCACACCTTACACAAAAAAATCCACTCAAAATGGTTCAGAGACCTAAATCTATGATGTGACACCAACAAATTACTAGAGAACTTTGGGGAAACTCTACAAGACATTGGAATAGGCAAAGTTTTCTTGGAAAAGACCCCAGAAGCAGAGGCAATCAAAGCAAAAATTAGCAAGTGGGATTATATCAAACTGAGAAACTTCTGCACTGCAAAAGAAATACTCAGCAAAGTGAAAAACCAACTGACAGAATGGGAGAAATATCTGCAAACAATGCAACTGACAAATGATTAACTTCCAGAATCTAATAAAAGAGCTCAAGAAATTCCACAACAACAAAACAAACAATCCAATTAAAAAATGGGCAAAGTATCCCAACAGACATTTTCCAAGAGAGCAAATTCAAATGGCCAACAGACACATTACAAAATGCTCAGGAGGGGCTGGTGCTGTGGCGCAGCTGTTTAAAGCCATGGCCTGCAGTGCCAGCATCCCATATGGGTGCTGGTTTGATCCTGGCTGCTCTGCTTTTGATCCAGCTCTCTGCTATGGCCTGAGAAAGCAGAGGAAGATGGCCCAAGTCCTTGGGCCCTTGTACCCACATGGGAGGCCTGGAAGAAGCTCCTGGCTCCTGGCTTCAGATCAGTTCAGCTCTGGCCATTGTGGTCATTTGGGGAGTGAACCAGTGGATGGAAGACCTCTCTTGCTTTACCTCTCTCTGTAACTCTGACTTTCAAATAAATAAAATAATTTTTTTTAAAAAAGCTCAGGATTGCAAGCCATCAGGGAAAGGCAAAATCAAAAATAAAATGAGGTTTTACCTCCAACCTGTCAGAATAGCTTTTCTGCAGAAATCAACAAACAACAAATGCTGTCAAGGATGGGAACTTTAATCCACTGTTGGTGGGAATGTAAACTGGTACAGCCACTGTGGAAGACAGTATGGAGGTATCTCAGAAAGCTGAGATATGTATGAATATACACATACCATATGACCCTGCCATCCCACTCCTGGGAATTTATCAAAAGGAAATGAAATCAGCATATTTAAGAGTTATCTGTACCCTATGTTCATTTCAGTTCAATTTATAATAGCTAAAATATGGAATCAACCCAGATGTCTATCAACTGAAGACTGGATAAATAAATTATGGTATTTATACACCATGGAATACTACACAGTGGTAAAAAAAAATAAAATCCTGTCATTTGCAACAAAATGGATGCAACTGAAAACCATTACATTTAGTGAAATGAGCCAGTCACAAAAAGACAGATACCATATGGTCTCTCTGATCTGTCATAACTAATAGAGTACTTAAAATTTAATCTACAGGAGGGAAACTTATACTTTGAAATGTTATAATTTTGAACAGCCCTTACCTTAACTGTCAGAGAACAATGTTTTTCTCGTTTGTTTTTGTTCTTTACTTCATTTTTTTTCCTTCATACTAGTTGGTGAACTCTCTGCTAAGTGTAGGGTTAATATTCTGAGTATAAAAATTAACTGAAAATTGATCTCTGTAAAATATAAGAATGGGAAAGGAAGAGGGAGGAGGAAGAAAAGTGGGAGTATGGGTGAGAGGGAAGTGGCAGGGAGAAGAATAATCATGTTCCCAAATATGTAATATTACATGCATGAAGTTGTATTCTTTAAACAAAATTTAAAAAAAGAAATGAAATAGTGTTTGATATTCATAAGATTAAAAAATATACAGTTGTGCTATAAGTGTTGATGAAACTCTGGAGTTCTGGGAAGATGCATATACTTTGGAGAACAATTTACCAGCTATTCCAACAAAGTTGAAAGTGCAATACATCTGGAAGAGTAATAATACCACTCCTGGCCATATTCTCTTCCACATTGTCTTTCAAACTTGTAGGACTGGGCATATTAGAAGGTAGTAAAAAAAAAAAACCAACAAAACAAAACAAAACAAAACAAACTAGGCCAGTGCCATGGCTCAATAGGCTAATCCTCGGCCTGTGGCACCGGCACTCCGGGTTCTAGTCCCAGTCGGGGCACCGGATTCTGTCCCGGTTGCCCCTCTTCCAGGCCAGCTCTCTGCTGTGGCCTGGGAGTGCAGTGGAGGATGGCCCAAGTGCTTGGACCCTGCACCTCATGGGAGACCAGGAGAAGCACCTGGCTCCTGCCTTTGGATCAGCACGGTGCGCTGGCCGCAGCGCGCCAGCCGTGGCGGCCATTGGAGGGTGAACCAATGGCAAAGGAAGACCTTTCTCTCTGTCTCTCTCTCTCACTGTCCACTCTGCCTGTCAAAAAAAAAATAAAAAATAAAAAAAGGAACAAGCTACGTCCTTGTTTATGGCAAGAGATGGAATAAGATGAGATAGGAAAGAATAGAATAGATTTCAATTCAATAGAAAAAGAATAATCAAATTTATTCCAATAAGTAAGATCTATCATCTCTTTTGAAAAGTTTATCTTTTATTACTCCCTCTTTGTGTGCCCATGTGTTGTGTCTTCCCTTTTTTTTAAAAAAAATCATTTTATCTATTTGAAAGGCAGAGTCACAAAGTGAGAAAGAGAGGGAGCTGGCACTGTGGCATAGTGGGCTAAGCCTCTGCTGGTGGAGCTGGCATCCCACATTGGCACCAGTTCAAGTCTTAGCTGCTCCACTTCCAATCCAGCTTCCTGTTAATGGCCTGGGAAAGCAGTGGAAGATGGCCCAAGTGCATGGGCCCCTGCACCTGCAAGGGAGACCCAGAAGAAGCTCCTGGCTCCTGCATCAGATTAGCCCAGCTCTGGCCATTATAGCCAGAGCTATAATGGAGAGTGAGCCAGTTGATGGAAGACCTTTTTCTCTGTCTCTCCCATTCTTTGTCTGTAACTCTACCTCTCAAATAAATAAAAACAATCTTTTTAAAAAAAGAGAGAGACAGAGAGAGAGAGAGAGAAGGGAAGATAGAGAGTGAGATTTTCCACCCACTGGGTCACTCTCAGAAATGACTGCAACAGCCAGGGCTGGGCTAAGCCAAAGCAGGAGCCAGGAGCTCAATCCAGGTCTCCCATATGAGTGGCAGGGGTTCAAGTATTTGGGCCATCATTTGATACTTACCTAGGCACATTAGCAGGAAGTTGGATCAAAGTGGGGTTGCTGGGTCTCAAACTGGTGGTTATATGGGATGCTGGTTTGCAGGTGGCAGCTTAAGTTGCTGTGCCAAAATGCCATGCCCAGAATTGACTTTAATTATGCTCTCTGAGCTGGTCATTCTCAATTTCCTGCTTGTATTTTCTGAGGCGCACTCTCCCCTCCTTCAATACTAGGTAAGCTGGTGGAGACATGATGAATTTCTGTTTTCCTACATTTACATCTTACCTTCTCAGAAACATAAGAGAAACAGAGATGCTGTTGTAGTTTGCATAAAATTCCAGGAACCACAAGTCATTGAGTCGCCTTGGATCATGAAATCTTTCCTATAAAACAAAATCATATCCAAATCAACCAAAGTGGCTGGGGGGATTGAAATGCTAATTAACTTGGCTAGACCTAGGCCACGTGTTCACTTCTGAACCAAGTGCTATGGCTGAATGCTATCATTTATCTGCATCTGATTCAATGGCGCACCTCTAGGCTGCTGCAGTAATTTGTGCAACAAAGTGCCTTCAAGTTTAAGTGGCAAGCTTTGTTGTAGTGATTTTGTGGATCACGAATGTGGGCACAACATGGAAGGAAAGGCTCATCTTTGCTTTCCAATGTCTGAGGCTAAACCTTGTGTGGCCCAAAGAGCTGGATGGGATTGGGACATCTTAACCAGTCCCACATGTCTAGGACCAATGTTCTGACTGGTGAATGGGTTTCCACATTTTCACAACATTGTATCAGCTAGGACTTGGAAAGTCCATGGCGGCTTCTTCACTCCTATTGAAGAGTTAAAGCTTAAGCTTACAGGTTTAAACCTTCCTGGTACAGCTGTAAAAAATAAGACAGAGTAGCACCTTGGCAGTAGGGACTCCATTTTGGAGCACTTGAGACTGCATTCTGGGAAAGCACCCCCCCACTGTGAGACTCTGGTCTGAAACTATGATCTCAAATAGTCGGACAATAGCAGTGCACTACATCACCCTTGGCAGAGCACAAAAACCCCCTAGCATGATTGCTCAAGCTTAAAAGTAGAAAGGTTGCACTTGGGTTACCTGGGCTAATAATAAAGATGTGATTTGTCTGTGTCTTACATTAATGTCAAGTCCTAATTGCTAATTGTAATATTGTAACTGGTATTGTCAAGATTATGATAAATATTAATTTCACTTAGGTTTTAGGTTACGTTGACCCCAGTAACCATATACTCTCTTTTGATTTTATGTACTCTCTTTTGATTTTAGCAACTGTGTATAGCAACCGTGCATAGCAACCATGTATTCCCCCCTTCCCGGTTTTGTGGTTTTTGCCTTTATAAACCCTAACCTTTGGTTATTCGGGGCTGCTCTGTTCATGTATGATCAGACAGCCCCAGCATGCTGGATAATCAATAAATCTTTAACCCTTTGCTGGTTGCATGAGAGAAAAGTCTCTTGGAGTCGTTCCTCAGGCGGTGGGCTTTTTCAGACTGTAACACTATGTCGTGTGCCTAGGCAGGAGCTGCTGAGGCTGACCAGGTGTCTATCTCTCCTTGGGGCCTTCCCATGTGGAAGCTTGGTTTTCTTCCCAACGTGGCAGTCTCAGTGTGGTCAGATTTGTTCCACAGTGACCAGTGTTTATTAAAATGAGTTTTCCAAGATCCCTGGGTAGACAGCACAAGTCATCTTATGAACTAGTCTCAAAAGTCTGAGAGTCTTACCTCTGCCACATTCTAACTTACCAAGCAAATCACTAAGGTATCCCAGAATCAAGAGGAAGGAAATTAGACTTCTCTCTAACTGGAAGAATGATGAATACTTGGCAGCCACATCTAATCCCCCATGGAAGCCACTGATGGAGTCAGCTCAACTGAAATACTCAAGTGAATAGAAAGGGATAACTCCCCCATGAAAAAAGTGAATTCTGTTATAAGAGTGGAATAGAAAATATGTACTATTTATATGGCCAGGTCAGTGCTATTAGGATAGACCAGCAGGGGTGTTTGAATGTAGGCCTGAGAAACCTCTTGTAAATACTCACAAGAGAAAGTAGAGGCTCATAGGTTCAATCAACAGGCAAACTATTTTCTGAATCTATCTTTGAGGGTCTTATACTGGGTTCTTGAGAGAGGGGTCCCTGCTCGTTAATTGGATGAGAAAGATCATTTTGTTTATTTCTTTCTTTATTTATTTATTTATTATACAGGTAGAGTGGACAGTGAGAGAGAGAGACAGAGAGAAAGGTCTTCCTTTTGCCGTTGGTTCACCCTCCAATGGCCACCGCGGCCGGCGCGCTGCGGCTGGCGCACCGCACTGATCCAAAGGCAGGAGCCAGGTACTTCTCCTGGTCTCCCATGGGGTGCAGGGCCCAAGTACTTGGGCCATCCTCCACTGCACTCCCTGGCCCCAGAAGAGAGCTGGCCTGGAAGAGGGGCAACCGGGACAGAATCTGGCGCCCCGACCAGGACTAGAACCCAGTGTGCCGGCGCCGCAAGGCAGAGGATAAGCCCATTGAGCCGCGGCGCCGGCCGAGAAGATTCTTTATTAGATATTGGGAGCAAAAAATACAAGAGCCTTATATTTTTATAAAAATGAAGGTAGAGTTTAATTAACCTCACACCCCAGGTCAAACAGTGACAAGAAAGCACAGCAAGATGAGGACAAAGCAGCCAAGACAAAGAGCCAAACTAACATGTGCACCACATGGGGCTCACAAGGCCAGAAAAGGACCAAGAGCAAATGACAAGGGATATCCCCATCAGTTGGGACTTAGATAACACTAAAACTGCAATGTGCCCTATGTTCATTTCCAGACATATAATCAATGTTTCTTTCTAAAAGGCCCAGTGTAGTGCCTGGAACACAGAGGTAGGAGAGAAGGAGGAATTGGAGCCCTGTGGCTAGGTGTGGCATGGTGTTAGAGAACAGACTGGGAGAACTCACAATTCACAAGATGGAACATGAACCAGAAAAACATTGTTTGATTGTTGTTTGTCTATGAAAATCCTAGGTAAATGCTGCTTAGATAAATAGAGGTTCTATGAAGAAATACAGGGGGAAACAAAGAAATATTGTATACTTATCCCTCTACCCAAAGGTGACTCTTCTTAGCTTGAAATTTAAATGCTTTCATTAATCTATTCAACTTATTGGAAATGTCATTTATCTTCACCTGTCTGAAAGTAATTAACATTGTTAAGGCATTTTCCCTTCTTGTCTTTTGGAATGAATGGGAAAAGCATGCATTTTAAACCCAAGTTTAAAATTCTCTTAAATTTTAAGAGAAGCTGAGAAGCCAAAGTCAGTTTACAATCAATCATACATAGCTAAGAGTTGCAGTTACTATAAGACATAAACACTCATTTATTCCTGCCTCAGGGTGCAGAGAGGGTGAGAAGTGAAGGTCCAGAGGTCAGATGAAAGGGAACCAGTGTCACTGACAGTCAGGTTTCTAACTTTGAGGCTTTGGTTAGGTTCTCACAGGAGAGAATTTTAGGAATCTTTGTTCAAAGTATATTTCCAACAAAGTGACAGTGTTTTACAATTGTTATCCCTTGAAGCAGTTTGGAGTAGTTTTAATGATGTCACTTTTATTTCTCCAATTAGTTGCAATAGTACTCATCTAAGTTAGAAAAATATCCAATACACTTTTGTAAGTTTTCTCATCAAGAAAAAAGAAATCAAAAAATACAGTTAATCTAAAGGGGTCAGTCTTGTTCCCAACCACCAAAAGGGAAACAAGTACAAAATCCCATGAGTTTAACAGTGGACTATAGTTTCAAAATATTGCTACTACAGGTTGTCGCAATACTAAAACTTTTTTCTACTTGACAACACCAAATGCTGGTGGGAATGTGGAGTAACAGGAATTCTCGCTTTTTGCTAGAAGGAATGTAAAATGGTACAGCCACTTTGGAAGAACATTGGGCAATTTATTAAAAAAGCTAACCATGGTCTCACATACAATCTAATAATCACAATCCAACATTAAAGTGAAGTGAAAATTGAAGTCCATGCAAGACCAGGTATTCATATGTTTAGAGCAAATTTCTTCATAATTGCCAAAAGTTAGGAACACCCAAGATGTTTGTTAATAGGCAGATGAATAAAAGAAAAAAAAACTGTGGCAAGTCTATACAATGGGATAATCATTCATTGCTAAATAGAAATGAGCTCTGAAGCAATGAAAGCACATGGAAGAATCTTAAATGAGCATTGCAAATGGAAGCCAGGATTTTCAGATTGAAGGTAGGCTGAAAAAGATGCATATTGGTATCTTTCTAACTTTTTCACATTTTGCAAATGGCAAAGCTAAAGAGAATATAGAAAGATCAATGGTGGCTAGGAGTTTGCCAGGGAGGGAGCTATAAACAGGTGGATGACAATGCAAAACTCTTCTGTGTGATGCTATTCTGGTGGATACATGATATCACACAACTCTACAAAGATCGAACCCCAATGTGAACAGTGGACTTATTGAATAACAATGTAGCAATAGTGGTTCAGCAATTGTTAACAAGTGTACCTTGACAATGCAAGGTGTTAATAATGCAGGAAACATATTATGGGAGAGGCAGGATATGGAAACTGTACTTTCTGTTCAATTTTTCTGTAAACCTAAAGCTGTCCTACAGAAAAGAAGTTTGATAATTAAAAACAAAATTGAAGTATTATTGTGTTCCTTTTGTGGGATCAGATTATCTTACTTCTTCATGTTTCTTGTATTTCTACACTTATTTTTGTGCATCTGGAGAAACACTTGTTGATATCTCCTCTGAAGTCTTTGAAGTCTTTGTTCTTGGGAATGTGCCTCTAGGTATAGTGGGTTGCCTGCATCTTCAGGGGCTATTCAGAGGTGTGTACTAGGTAGGTGGGGCCAGGGATCTCTGGCCAGCACTTGTGGGTGGGGCAAAAGTCCAGGGTAACACTCAAATTATTCATGGTAGCTCTCCTCTGTATTCAGTAGGGGAGAAGGAATGAACACTCTGGTTGGCGCGATCACTGCCTCCATCATTCTCTATGCCAAGGTGGACCTCTCTGTGCCAGCACCCCTAACTCACTCAGGTTTGTGAACTAAACAGAGAATCTATATACTCCATGGTGTGAGCATGGAGCCTTCCACAATGTCTGATCCCAGACTCAGGGAATTCAGAACTCCTGGAGTTGGGCTCAGTAATTGCCCCCAAACCCTGCCATGCCCTATACACTTATTGGCTTCCCAACCTATCACACACTCACAGGATTCCCACAGTCACAGGCTGCAGGGGATCCACTGTCTGCCCTGCAAGCTTCCTGGTCCAAAGAGAGAGCCACCCAAAATGCTTGAAATAAATTCCAAAGATTGATTGGAAGATTACTTAAATCACAGATATTAGAAATGAAGAAGGCCGGCGCCGTGGCTCAATAGGCTAATCCTCTGCCTGCGGTGCCGGCACACCGGGTTCTAGTTCTGGTCAGGGCTCCAGATTCTGTCCCCGTTGCCCCTCTTCCAGGCCAGCTCTCTGCTGTGGCCCGGGAGTGCAGTGGAGGATGGCCCGAGTGCTTGGGCCCTGCACCCCATGGGAGACCAGGAGAAGCACCTGGCTCCTGGCTTCGGATCAGCGCCATGTGCCAGCTGCAGCGGCCATTGGAGGGTGAACCAACGGCAAAAGGAAGACCTTTCTCTCTGTCTCTCTCTCTCACTGTCCACTCTGCCAGTCAAAAAATAAAATAAAATAAAAAGAAATGAAGAAATCAATATGTAAAATAAAAAACATAGCAGAACGCCTGAACCACAGACTTGGTGAGGCAGCAGAAAGAATATCTGAAGTGGAAGACAAAGCTTTTGAAATACCTCAGTCAGGCCAAAAAAAAAAAAAAAAAAAAATAGGAGAAGGAAAAATGAAAGGAAATGAAAATAGTGTTCAGGATCGATGGGATACCATTATACAACAAAATATATATGTCTTAGGCATTCATAAAGGAGTTGAAAAGCACAATGACTTAGAAAACATATTTAGCAAAATAATAACAGAAAATTTCCTCAAGTTGGACAAAGATATGGACATCCAAGAACTGGAAGCATATGGGACCCCAAATAGACATAAGAGAAGATATTCACAATGATACATTATGTTTCTCGTCAGAAACATTACAGGCCAGAAGAGACTAGAGAGATATAGTCCAAGTCCTTAAAGAAAAAACTGTCAGATAAGAATATTGTACCCAGAAAAGCTTTCATTTATAAATAAAGGGGAAATAAAAACCTTCCAAAACAAACAAAAATTGAAAGAATTTGTCACCACTCAGTCAGCTTTAAAAATAATACTTAAGGATGTACTAATCATAGAAGTAGAGAAAGATAACCAGCATCATGAAAGACTGTGAAGACAGAAAAACTCTTAATAATTGTACAAAGGAGATAAAAACCAAAAATAGGAATATTTACAGAAAATGGAAGAACAAGTCATTAATTATCAATAGTGACCTTTAATATAAATGAACTAAATTCTCCAATTAAAAGATATGGGCTGGATGAATGGATTGAAAAGCAAGACCCATCTATATACTGCCTACAGGAAACACACCTCTATTTGTTAAATAAACGAGTCACTGTGCACTAACTTCCCATGCAGGAGTTCTGTCCCCATAGAGTTGCATTATGAGATTTAATAGTAAAATTTGTGCTCAAGAATCACTTCCTTTTAGTGTATTAAATGGAGGATATTATCAAGTCTCATAAGTTATAGTTATGTCTAAGAGTTCATAAAAGGTTTATCATCTTTGGGTTCTTCTTTAAAGACAAGTCTCCAAAGGAAAGAAGGGGAGGAGGGCAGGGAAAAGAGGAAGGGAGAAAAAAAAGCAAAATCACCTTCGAGAAGCAGTAACACAGAACAGCCCTTGTTTAGACTGTTGAGGAATAGTTTTCTTAGTTTTTTTTTTTTTACTGCATTTTTAAAAAATTTATTTATCTTCCTTTTTTCTTCCTTGGACTAAACAGGAGAGGGAGAAGGGTAGGGGGACAAGTGGCTGGGAAGGTGGGTACCATGGAAGAATTACTGTGTTCCTAATGTTGCATTTATGAGATACGTACAAAAAGAAAGAAAGAAAGAAAAGAAAAAAGAAACACACCTCACCAACAAAGATCACACAGACTAAAAGTGAAAGGATGGAAAAAGATATTCCATGCAAATTGAAACATAAAAATGAGCAAGAGTAGCTATCTTGATATCAGATAAAATGGAGTTTAAGGCAGAAACTGTTAGAAGGGACAAAGAAGGTCATTATTCAATGATTAAGTGAGCAACTCAAGAGGGAGATCTGACTGCAGTAAATGTATATGCACCCAATGTTAAAGCACCCAGTTACTTAAAACAAATGTTGACAGATCTATATGGAGACATATGATCCAAGGATACTTCAACACCCGACTTTCATCAATGGCCAGATCAACTAGGCAAAAAAAAAAAAAAAAAAAAAAAAAAAGGCAACAAAGAAACAACAGACCTAATCTGCCCTATCTACCAAATGGATCTAATCGATATCTACAGAACATGTCATCTCACAGCCTCAGAAACACATTCTTTTCATCAAGGCATAGAACATTCTGTAGGATAGACCACATACTAGGCCATGAAACGAATCTGAACAAGTTCAAAAAAATTGAAATCAAGCCATGTATCATTTCTAATCACAATGGAATTAAGCTGGAAACTAACAACTTAAGAAATTCTAGGCCGGCGCCGTGGCTCAATAGGCTAATCCTCCACCTTGCGGCGCCGGCACACCGGGTTCTAGTCCCGGTTGGGGCGCCGGATTCTGTCCCGGTTGCCCCTCTTCCAGGCCAGCTCTCCGGCATGGCCCGGGAGTGCAGTGGAGGATGGCCCAGGTGCTTGGGCCCTGCACCCCATGGGAGACCAGGAAAAGCACCTGGCTCCTGGCTCCTGCCAGGATCAGCGCGGTGCGCCGGCTGCAGCGGCGGCCATTGGAGGGTGAACCAACGGCAAAAGGAAGACCTTTCTCTCTCTGTCTCTCTCTCACTGTCCACTCTGCCTGTCAAAAAAAAAAAAATAAAAAATAAAAAAAAATAAAAAAAAAAAGAAATTCTAGAAAATATGCAAACACATGGAGACAGAACAACATGCTCCTGAATGAACAGTGGGCCATAGAAGAAATCAAAAGGGAAATAAAAAAATTCTTTGAAACAAATGAAAATGACAACACAGTGCACCAAAACATTTGGGGTACAGATAAGCAGAGTTATGAGGAAAGTTTATAGCAATCAGTGACTACATCAAAAAATTGGAAAGATATCAAGTAAATAATCCAACAATGCATCTCAAGGATCTAGAAATACTGTTGGGCACCAAAAAGTATGTTGTATCCAGATCGTTAGATCGCCGCAGAGACCCCCAGAGAGTCGATCACACCGAACTGCAAAAGCAAGGTTTATTCGGGAGTACAAGCCGCGACAGGGACCCCGTCCAACCAACCGGCACAGCGGAGGAAGGAGTGAGGCCCCGGTCTTTGTTTGGGAGAGTTTTTAAAGGAAAAAAGAGTTACATACAGCACGGAAGCTTTGGGCGCAGGGAGTTACTTTGTTCAGCAATCTCTACTGTGCTGTCCTTGGTCTACCGAGCTAGCTGTCCCTGGTAAGCTTTGCTATCTCCAGAATGCCTGAATGCCTGCTTTTACAAGGACCTGGGTCTGCTATGGGAAACGGAGGCTGCTTTTTTTATTGTTTAAAAATGGAGTCACTTTGGTTCTTCATTCCCCCCTTGTTTTTGTACGTGTTTGAAAAACCCAGTCATGGGTTTTGGACTGACATTTTATAGGTTTTACAAACATTTAAGGGTTTATATTGGGACCGTTGGACCATTAATTGAATGGTACCCAATCTCTGTTTCATAAACTGTACAAGTTTGTTAACAATGCAAGGGCCAAACGTTAAAATTAAAATCAGGAGAACAAGGGGCCCTATGAGTCCTGATAGTAGGGTGGCTTGCCACGGAGAAGAATTGAACCAAGACTCAAACCACCCCTGAGAGGCCTCCTTTTTTTTTTATTTTGCCAGCCTCTCCCTGACCTTAGCCAGCCATGTTATCTTTTATTAGGCCCGAGTGATGGGCGTAAAAGCAGCATTCTTTCCCAGAGTGGGGCATAGCCCACCACATCAGTCCCAGAAGTCCCAGAGGTGCAGAGGGATCCGTCTTCAGAGTCACCCCTGCTGACGTGGAGCAATGAGGCACTCTGCGCTGCCATGGGGTGATGTCTTAAGCCACTGCCTCCTGGGTGGGGAGCCGAGCACATTCCTGTAGTAGCATTTGGTTGACCGCCTGGTTGCCGAAGGCCTTGGTTTGCTCCATTACCAGCTGTAAACACTTAAACAGACACTGTAGTATAGAGGTAGGGTGAGAATAAAGCAGATTCCAGCCAAAACTGGGAGAAAAGCCACTCATTAGTGTGGGAGAGGATTACCAGTACACACATGTTGGGAGTATAAATGGCATTCTACGACCGAGAACAAAAAATTCACAGAAATCCTCAGCGTTTAATTTCTGCTCTACTTTTATACACAGAATAATGACTAGCTATTTGCAGCATGTCTTTAACTTCTTAACTTTGTGTATTTACTTTTCCTGAACAAGGCGGAGCTGCTGCTGCTATGTGTAACTGAGACAGTGATTGATATTTAATAGGAAACACTGCTCACAGAACTGTACTTCCTACTAGCCAAATTTACCTAATAATGAATTATCCTGATAATGGAGAATAGATACCATATGCACTAATTATACAGATGTTAAAGTCACAGTTTTAAACAAGGTAATTTATATTTTTTCTTTTTTCTTTTCTTTTTTTTTTACAGGTAGAGTGGACAGTATGAGAGAGAGACAGAGAGAAAGGTCTTCCTTTTTGTAGTTGGTTCACCCTCCAATGGCCGCTGCTGGCGCGCTGCGGCCGGCACACTGCGCTGATCTGAAAGCAGGAGCCAGGTGCATCTCCTGGTCTCCCATGCGGCTGCAGGGCCCAAGCACTTGGGCCATCCTCCACTGCACTCCCTGGCCACAGCAGAGGGCTGGCCTGGAAGAGGGGCAACCGGGACAGAATCCGGTGCCTCGACCTGGGCTAGAACCCAGTGTGCCGGCACCACAAGGGGGAGGATTAGCCTATTGAGCTGCGGTGCCGGTGGTAATTTACATTTTGAAGTACACTATTTACGGTAATACTGTTTAAAAGATACTACTGCTGCCCCCACAGGATATGTACAGAATGTCTGTATACCACTGATTTTAATAAGCAACAAAATTACAAAGGAATGAGGCCCAGGAGTGGGCCAGACAGGGTCTAGAACAATGGACAGAGTTGCTATTAGAGGAGTCAAGAAAGGTGTTGTCCAAGTTACAAATAAGTTTTCTGATTGAGAGGCAAAGAGAACCTGATAGAAGGGGCTTGATAAGAACCTGGTGGACTTTAGGCCTTGTAAGTTAAGGGAGCTAGACCTATCTATCTTTTTACATAGGGTACATTTTAAGGGAGGAGTGAACCTCCTTGGGGAAGGCACTCTGTTGACTTTTATTACTTACCTGGCCTGGGAGGAGAGCTGGCCAGGTAAAGGAAGGTGGCATCTCCAACAGGAAATTTACAGCTCTGTCTGCAATGTTACTGACCCTACTTGGCCATTCTTTCAACAGTGGCGGTCACTTTGGAGGTTGGGCTAAGTGAAGGGCTTTTCAGCTTAGAGCCAATAAGATCTGTGGCTCTGACCTGAAGTCCTTCGACTCCAGGGCAGGTCCATTTCCAGTGATCCAACTCTTGGCTGGCAGAGCTCCCAGGGCTCTTTATAAGCTGACTTCTGCTGAAGCCCAGGCTTACCTCATCAGAAGCCACTGCAGTGGACTGGCCTGTTGGGTCTCGCTGAGGGCAGATCACTGTACAGAGCTGTCTGTAATAGGCCTGCCACCCATCTTTACATTGTTTCTGATGCCCAGCTCTCTTTTCCTCCTGGTTTTTGTTAAATCAGACCAGAGAATGAAAGTCAAGGGAGTGCTCAGTCCCACCTCTAATTTTTGTTGCCTAGACTAGAAGTCTATTGTCATAGGCATGTTTCTTATGAATATTAAGCTGGGCTGAGTTACTCTGATTTCTGAACATGGTTGACCTTTAACAGAACTGACTTATGTCCTTACCCAAATAGCTATGCAAGGATACTGCCAGATTGTCACTACAAAATTTTACCAGTTACCAGCCATGCTTAAAAACCTTGCACCACCAGAGGCAAAACAGATACGTTACTCTGTGTGGTGTTGCCTGGCAGCAGATTTAATTTTTTACACTAGTCTTTAAGTAATTAAGTAATCTCACAGGAATAATTATATATGACAATAGGGTTAAAAAGGTAGGGCAGCTCTTCCATGCACAAGAGTAATATCAAATGAAAACTTAGCAAGTAGATTCAATTATTAGACAACTTAGGAAAACACTTACCAGAAGGTCCAATGTCCTTTACAAATGTTAAGAATACATGTACTTGGAAACATCTCTTAAATACCCAACATGGCGTAGCTTGTTTAACCAGCAAATTTAAGCACAAGTATATACAATGTTTTCAGCTTTTTTTTTTTAACAAGTTTACAGAGATTTAGGTTACACGGATTTTCGAATTTTTGATTAACTTTAGCTGTTTAAACTTACGGGAAACATTTTGTTACAGATTACAATATAATCAAGCTCTACAGCAATATGAACACTTGAGATAACTTTCTTGTATACATAACATTTAGTCCAGCAGAGACATTAGAAAAACATACATAAATGATACAGAGGAGTTGATTTAAAGGCTAACTACATTTAGGATTGATGCATTTAGTTTCACAGCAAACTACAGGGTTACATACATCAGAACAAAAAAGCAGTTTCAGTAATAGCTGTTAAAATTTTTAACCTTTTTTATAAATCACCAATTGATCTGAATTACTTTCTGATCTTAGTAACCTCAGTTAACTATACTTTTTCCCAGTTGGTACCTGTAATACATTATTGGCTTTATCAATTTACAGAGTCATTCCAAAGTACTGAATACAATAGATGTAGCTGGAAAAAGTCCGTTGCAACCTATAGGAGGACAGTTAAATACAGAACCAACGATGCGTTAGTTTTATGAGCAGTAAATCTGATATACAAAACTGTGGATGACAAAAGACCTTAAGTTGTCATTTTTAAAATTACAAACTTGTTAACCAAGAAGAGGCATTTCTTTACTTTATATAGCATTTTTGAAAGCACTTATAGGATTTTACAAGGCACACAACATTTTTAGGCCTCTGGGGCCCCTTCACCAAGATGACCATTATGTTTAGTAACACTAGATTACCAGACTTTATAATTTTCAGACATCTGTATCAATACCATTTTATATCATGACATAATACAGCCCAAATGTGATCATTTTATAGGGTGATTATTTAAAGGTTTGAAAATAAGCACATATTTAAATAACCCATAGCTCTTAATAAAAACTCAGTTGTTTTTAAACAATTAGAATTTGACAGACATCAAGAGAACACAATAGATAACTTTAACTTATTGCTTTAACAGAGAGTCAGTAATAGCTTCCGTGTTTAAAAAAATTTTTATAACTTTTTGTGACTTTTATACACCCTCTTTAACTTACTTGAAACATTTTATTTTTATATTTGTGATGTTTTTTATCTGTCAAGACAACATTTTTAAACAAGGTAACACATTAAATTTCAGCATTAATTACTTTTAAGTGATGTTGAACTATTTTTTATATGGACAATCCATGAAAACACGTTAGCAAATTCAAGCAGTTTTTCTATAGAATATAAGGTGTTGAAACTACCAAAGTTTACATTTAGACAAGTATTTTATTTGTCTTTACCCAATTTAAGTTAGCAGTTACACCTAAATGACTTACGATGCTGATATTATATATCTCTATGTGAATTTAATTAAAATTAAAATTGTATTTATTTAAAACAAGTGCTAATTACCTATTATTGTTTTATTGAGTGCTGACCACCCAGAAATTTTTAAAACAAATTGCAAAACAAGTTCAGCAAGTTACAAAGCAATATCTTCTGGCTTGCACGAGATAAAACAGAAGAGCCATCAGAAGGGTGGGATCCTGATTTGTTTCACTGATAAGACAGGGAGAGTACACTTTGGACCAGACCTGGTTCTAAGATAAAGTTCAAATTCTGAGATAAGGCAAGGGGGAGGAGAGTTACCCATTCCACGCCAGTCTCCAAGGCCAAATTTGAATTTTGCACCAATCTTGCACGCAGCGCCGCTGCTTTGAGACCCGCCAACAGAGTCTGGCGATAGACATGGAGCCTCTCCTTTACAGAAATTAACCCAATTGTAATTGGTTTTTTTTTTTTTTTTTTTAACATTTACATTGTTTTAACATGTCAGAGGCTGTTCACCTTGGAGACCTGCTGTGGATGTGGGTACAGCCCGGAGGGAGATTTACACCCTCTCCCCTGGATTTTTAAGGGCCAGCAAGAGCTCACCAGATGCCGCCACCAGCTCCCCGGGCTCCTGCTGGCTTTCCGCGCTTTATTGAATTTCTTTACTTTGACATTTAGAGCACTGGGCAGAAATCACATCACGTCAACACATGCCATGGGCCCTCATGATGCTTTAACAGTTGAATGCCCCTGGTCCCCACCAGTTCTAAGTCAAGGTGAGCCACGGCTGCAGGGGCGGGCCCGGGTGGGAGGGGCCACACGCCCGAGGGGCACCAAGGCGCGGGGTAGGGGGTGGGGGGGAAGAGGGGTCTCCTCCTTGCACCCCGACCCCATGAGTGCCGCGCGCATGCATGCATGCAGCGCCTGCCAGGCTCCTGGAAGGCGGCCGCAACTCCAGTCGCAGCTGATGCAATCCATGGGAAGGGCCCAGCTCTTGTGCAGAGTTGCAGCTGCCCCCCGGCTCCCCGGGTGCCCCTCCAGGGGGGGGGCGGTGCCTCATCCAGCCACAGCGTGCACCCAGCCCTGCTTCACTCCCCAGCCCGACTGACCCAGTCCTTAACCTACATTATCATGAGCCACTTTTTTTTTACTGTGCAAGAGTTAGATCCAGTGCAGAGGATGGAGTCGCCCCCATGTTCTAAGTCCAGTTAAGTCAGTTGTCAACAGAAATAACACAAACACCACTTAACAAAAAGACAAACAAACACAGGGCCCGTACAGAATTTCTGCGGACAGATTCAGGTGGTCATATTACAGAAGGTCTTGACAGCTCCAAGGGCGAACCTCTGGGAGTCTGAAGGAAACCAAAGACCTTACAGATGGGACGAGAACTCTGCAGCAGTCCCTCTTCTCTTCGTCCCCAGATACAGATTGGACCTCCCCAGGTCCCAGACGAGGAATCCGGACGCCTGCCATTTCCTCCGGGGTGTGCCCTATGAGCGCGTCCGCTCAGGCAGTGACCCCTCACAGATTCAGAATGCAGATGCACCAGCCAATGCTACAGATTCAGATTTAGACACAGTTAAACAATGAACAAATAGACTAACAAACTCACCCAGTCGACTGGAGCAAACCTTCGGGGTTGAGGTCACTGGGGGGCTTTTTGGGGATCACAATCCTGGGTGAGCCCCCAAATATGTTGGGCACCAAAAAGTACGTTGTGCCCAGATTGTTAGATCCCCGCAGAGACCCCCAGAGAGTCGATCACACCGAACTGCAAAAGCAAGGTTTATTCGGGAGTACAAGCCGCGACAGGGACCCCATCCAACCAACCGGCACAGCAGAGGAAGGAGTGAGGCCTCGGTCTTTGTTAGGGAGAGTTTTTAAAGGAAAAAAGGGCTACATCAGCAGGAAAAAAGAGTTACATACAGCATGGAAGCTTTGGGTACAGGGAGTTACAGCGGGGGCTTACAGCACGGAAGCTCTGGGCACAGGGAGTTACTTTGTTCAGCAATCTCTACTGTGCTGTCCTTGGTCCACCGAGCTAGCTGTCCCTGGTAAGCTTTCATATCTCCGGAATGCCTGAATGCCTGCTTTTACAAGGACCCGGGTCTGCTATGGGAAACGGAGGCTGCTTTTTTCAATTGTTTAAAAATGGAGTCACTTTGGTTCTTCAATACAAGAACAAACTAAACCCAAAATTAGTAGGAGGGAAGAAACAGTAAAAATTAGAGAAGAAATAAATAAAACTGAAAAAAAAAATCCCATACAATAGATTAGTGAAATGAAGAGTTGGTTTTTTTGAAAAAAAAAAAAAAATTGATAAACCATTGCTGCAACCAACAAAAAAAAGAAGACTTAAATTACTAAAATTCAAATATGATAATGGAGATTTTACAATGGATGCCACTAAATAAAAAGAATCATTAAGAATTATTATAAACAGCTTTTTGCCAACAAATTGGAAAATATAGAAAAATGGATAGATTTCTGGACACATACAACTTACCAAAATTGAGGCATGAAGACATGAAAAAAATCTAAATAAACCAATAATCAAGATGGAGATTGAATTGAATGAGAAGAGGATATGAGGAGCCAGATGGGCTAATGGGCAACAGAGCCAGTTGGAAGGCAGTTAGGTCCCTCGGAAGGCAGTTTTGTCTGTTAGCTGTAATTAGTTTTATCGAAGCTAGAAAGGATTGCAATCTCTGCCTTCAGTACCTGTTATTCTGATCCTCCCCTGATTGGTTAAATGTAGGTTTGATTTTCAGAAAGCAGCCAATCAGAGAGAGCCGCTTCATGTTTATAAAGGGCAGACACTGGCAAGCTTCTTTGGCAATTCCTACTTAGATCCCCCTCCTGACTGCTGGTCAGGTTTCTCAGTTTCCATAAATCTTGCATTGCTTACTGGCCCTGTCTGCATGGAAATTCTTCAACAAGAAACACGAACTGAGATCACCTTTGCCCTCATCCTCCCACAACAGAATCAATAGCAAAGACCCTTCTAACAAAGAAAAGCCCAGGAATGGATGGCTTCACTGTTGAAGCCATCTCTTAAAAACTTTTAAAGAACTAATCCCAATACTTCTTAAACTATTTAAAAAAAATTAAAGGGAGGGAATCCACCTAAACTCCTTTTTTGAGGTCAATATCACCTTAATTCCCACGCTGTAAAAAGATACAACAAAGAATGAGAACTATAGACTGATATCCCTCAGGATCATTGCTGCAATTATCATCAATAAGAATCAAATCCAACAACAATCCAAAAGATCATCCAACTGGAGTAAGTGGGATTTATCCCAGGGATGCAGGGATGGTTCAACATATGCAAATCGATAAATGTGATATATCACATTAACAATTGATTAATGAAAACCACGTGATTATCTGAACAGATGCAGAAAAAGTATTTGAAAAATACATCCTTTTATGATAAAAAAGAATCCCTTAGACAAAATGGTTAGAAGGAATATATTTCAACATAATCAAGGCACTATATCACAAATAGGATTTGTACACACAAACAATGCCATGAGAGGGAAAGAAATTGTAAGACCAGTAACATTCACAATAGTTGCAAAAAATCTTAAATATCTTGCGATAAATTTAACCAACGATATGAAATCTCTACAATGAAAATTATAAATAAGAAAAGAAATAGAAGACACACAAAAAAATGAAAAATCTTCCATGTTTGGGAATTGAAAGGATTAATCGGTTGGAGGCACGGCTCAATAGGCTAATCCTCCACCTTGCAGCGCCAGCACACCGAGTTCTAGTCCTGGTCGGGGTGCCAGATTCTGTCCCGGTTGCCCCTCTTCCAGGCCAGCTCTCTGCTGTGGCCCTGGAGAGCAGTGGAGGATGGCCCAAGTCCTTGGGCCCTGCACCCGCATGGGAGACCAGGAGAAGCACCTGGCTCCTGGCTTCGGATCAGCGCGGTGCACCAGCCGAGCGGCCATTGGAGGGTGAACCAACGGTAAAGGAAGACCTTTCTCTTTGTTTCTCTCTCTCACTATCCACTCTGTCAAAAAAAAAAAAAAAAGTCTTAAAAAAAAAGAAAGGATTAATATCATGAAAATGTTGATACTACCCAGCCCCAGCAGTTGTGGCCATCTGGAGAGTGAACCAGCAGATGGAAGACCTCTCTCTCTCTCTCTCTCTCATTCTTTCTCTTCTCTCTCTCTCTCTGTAATTCTGTCTTTTGAATAAATAAATCTTTTTTAAAAAGTTACTGGTTCTAAACAGCCAGATGTATATTTGCTGTGATGTTGTTACTTGTCATAATCCCTGTACAGGCAGCAGGGTGTCATACACGTGATATTTTATTTGACGGCTTTTAAAATTTTTATGTTCATATGTGACTTTTGCCCAAAGCCTGACTTCTTTTCCTGAGGGTCCAGTTTCAGAGGTGCTTTCTGTCTTAGTCATATATTTTGTCTGGACACTTATCTACAAATATGTAAACTTTCAAATTAAGCTGGGGTGCAGGAGATTCTTCCTGCTATGATCTTGAGGCCTTTTTTTTTTCCTACCAGCTGATCTTAAATAAGAAAATTTAAATCTCAGCTTAAATGAGTGGATTCTCAGTTAAAAAACATCAATCCATTTTTAAGAGATACATTATTCAAGAGATCCAGACTCAGAGATAGTCTTGGATGTTGTAAGGGACAAAGATTTTAAAAACCGTGATTAGTATGTTAAAGCATCTTGTGGAATAGGTAGACAGTGGGAAGTAACAGATGGGGAAATTTCATTGCAAAGACAGAAACTAATGATAGCTAAGTGAAAATGCTAGAAATAAAAAAGAGAAACATGAGAACAGAGGTTAGGAATTCATTCCTTAAGTTTACTAGCAGACTGGAAACTACAGAAGAATCATTGAATTTGAAAACAAGTTGTTAGGAAGCACACAAACTGACTCACAGGAGAAGAGAGAGAGAGAGTGAGTGAGCAGAGCTGTGTTATAATAACAAGCCATCTACATGGAATTGGCTTCTGGAAGGAGAAGAAAGTGAAAGATGGGTGGAAAAATATTTTAAGAGTTGATGGCCAAGGACTTCCGAAGCTCAATGAAAGAAAACAAAGCAGAGATTCAAGGTATAAAAGTCTCAAAATATTGTTGTTAAACTGTTGAGAATCAAAGGCAAAAATATATTTAAGGAGGTTAGAAGTGAATCCTTATCATGTAGAGATAGAGCACCACCACCTAGCCAAACAATCATACAGTCAGCTGAAATGAAACAGCAGCTATCACTGGTAATCTGACTCATGATGTTGTCCTATTCTTCCCCTTGCTATGAAAACAGAAAAATTCTTGTGGCGAGGTCCTCATGTCTCAAGATTTGGTGCTTCTCTAGGATCTTGCTCCTTAATTGCATTACTGTCTTATTTTGTAAACACAAGGGCCTTGGCTTAGAACAACTTGCAGGCCCAGATTTTGCTGGCTCCCAAAGTTGCCATGGGAGACTGAGCTCTGAATGAGTTATGTGTGTACAGTTTTTTTCTGGAATTCTAGTTCATACTTCTCACAGAGTTATTGCTGCTTCCTCAGGTTTATGAAACCACCACCACCTCCCTATATACAAAATTATGTTTTCCGTGGTTTCAGTTATCCACAGTAAGCTACACTCTGAAAGCACTAAATGAATAAAATTCCAGAAGTAAACAATTCATGTTTTAAATTGTATATTATCTACAAAGTGTGGTGAAATCATACATAGTTCTGCTTTGTCCAAACAAGGATGTGAGTCATTCCTTTGTTCAGCATATCTATATTGTATGTGCTACCCACCCATTGATCACTTAGTAACCATCTCAGTTATCACATTGTCATGATGGTATCACAGCACTTAGGTTCAAGTAACCCTTATTTTATTTAATAATGGTCCTAAAGTGCAAGAATGGTGAGGTTGGCAATCTAAGTAAAGCCAAAGAGAAGCTATGAAGTGCTTCCTTTAAGTGAAAAGGTGAAATTCTCAACAGGGCAAGAAAAACATTTTATATTGAGGTTGCTAAGATTTACTGTAAGAATGTATAGTCTATCTAAGAAACTGTGAAGTAGGAAAATTAGTTTTACCATCATCTCAAACTGCAAAATTTATGACCATAGTACATGCTAACTGCTTAGCTAAGATAGATGAGGCATAAATTTTGTGGGTAACAGACATGAATAGAAAACATTTTCCAGCTGAAGACAACATGCCATGACAGAAAGCCTGAGGTTATATAAAGCTTTCAGCATCAAGGGACACCTGACAGTGAGGGACAGTAGGCCACTTACTCCAAGTCAAGGAGGTTATACAGATTCAGGAATAGTTTTACACTGAAAAACAGAGAAGTTATTATAGAGGTTGCATCTGCTGGTGAAGAAGCTACTTCAACGTTCCCAGTAGAGTTGAAGAAGTTGGTTAAGGAGAAAGAGTAATATCCAAAGCAGGTCTAATGCCAAATCACAATGCCTACATCATTCCCCAACTCCCCCCTATAACAGGCATTTTGTGTTCTTGCATCATCACAACAGAAAGGTTAACGTGATATAATAAAATATTTTGAAGGGAAGATCACATACAAGTAGCTTTTATTACAGTATATTGCTATAACTTTAATATCACTTTTAATATTTTACTGTGTCTAATTTATAAATTAAACTTACTGTGTATCTCCTCCCTCTCTTATTCCCACTCTTATATTTAACAGGGATCACTTTCCAGTTAAATTTCAACACCTAAGAATAAATGTGTGTTAATTACAGAGTTCAACCAATAGTATTAACTAGAACAAAAAAAATACTAAAAGGGATAAAGTATTAAATTGTACATCAACAGTCAGGACAAGGGCTGATCAAGTCACTGTTTCTCATAGTGTCGCTTTCACTTCAACAGGTTTCCTTTTTTGTGGTTGGTTAGATGTACAATTTGGGACATGCTCAATCAGACTTGCCCCAAATGGTGGAGTTACAAATGTGCCAGGGGATTCCAATACAATCCCATCAAGATTGCATGTACCAATGCCATCTCACTAGTCCAAGTGATCAATTTCTGTTCAAAATTGATCACACTGATAGGTCTAAGAGTCAAAGGGATCACACAAACAAGACTAGTGTCTGCGAATACTAACTTATAGAATAAAAAAGGGAAAGAACGATCCAACATGGGAAGTGGGATACACAGCAGACTCATAGAATGGCAGATGTCCTAAACAGCTCTCCGGCCTCAGATCAGCCCTTAAGGCATTCGGATCTGGCTGAAGAGCCCATGAGAGTATTTCAGGCATGGAAAGCCAAGACACTATGGGGAAAAAAAAAAAAAAAAAAAAAAAAAAAAAAAAACCTAAATGAAAGATCTCTGCGAGTGAGATCCCAGTAGATAGAACGGGCCATCAAAGAAGGAGGTACCTTTCTCTGAAGGGAGGAGAGAACTTCCACTTTGACTATGACCCTGTCTGAATAAGATCGAAATCTGCGAACTCAAAAGGCTTCCATAGCCTTGGCAACTCATGACTAGAGCCTAGGGAGATTTCTGATGCCAGAAACAAGAGTGTCAAATTGTTAAGTCAACAACAGGAGTCACTGTGTACTTACTCCTCATGTGGGATCTCTGTCCTTAATGTGTTGTCTAATGTGAAGTAATGCTATAACTAGTACTGAAACAGTATTTTACACTTTGTGTTTCTGTGTGGGTGCAAACTGATGAAATCTTTACTTAATATATACTAAATCGATCTTCTGTATATAAAGATAATTGAAAATGAATCTTGATGTGAATGGAATGGGAGAGGGAGCGGGAGATGGGAGGGGTGCGGGTAGGAGGGAAGTTATGGGGGGGGGGAAGCCATTGTAATCCATAAACTGTACTTTGGAAATTTATATTTACTAAATAAAAGTTTAAAAAAATAAATTAAACTTAATTACAGCTATGGATGTATAGGAAGAACATTGCATGTATAGAGTTTGGTGCTATTCATTGTTTCATTCAACTACTGAGTGTCTTGGAATGTATTATCTCCCTTAGACATGGGGAGATAGTAGGGCAATAACTTAAAGGCAAGGTCAGTGTATATGGTTGTCCACTAGAGGGCAATATGTGCATTTACCTCTTTAAATGTGACAGTAAATTTCTAGCACAAACATATTTGTGTATTAGGGAAAGAAATAATGAATGAAATGAAAACAAGAAAAACGTACCATATTTTCATACTATATTCTGGTTTGTGATATGGTTGTATACAGTTAATTTTTCCCAGAAATAATCATCAGAGAGGAATGGGTAAGCAAATAGAAGACAATAATTATTGCTAGGGACAAAAGGTATTCTATAATGTACAAAAGGTCAGTCTATTGAGCAGTTATAACATTTATAAATATGTATGCACATACCAACAAAGTGCTAAAACACATGAAGCAAAATGGACACAGTTCAAGGACTAAATGGTAAAATAACAATAGTTGAAGACTTCGGTACTTCACTTCCTTACATCTTTTTACTTTTAAAAAAGATTTATTCGTTTTATTTGAAAGGCAGAGCTACAGAGAGGCAGAGGCAGAGAAAGAGAGAGAGAGAGAAGGAGACAGAGAGAGGTCTTCCATCTGTTGGTTCACTCCCCAGATTGTCACAATGGCTGGAGCTGAGCTGATCCAAAGCCAGGAGCCAGAAGCTTCTTCCAGGTCTCCCACATGGGTGCAGGTGCCCAAGAACTTGGGCCATTTTTCACTGTTTTCCCAGGTGATAGCAGAGAGCTGGATTGGAAGTAGAGCAGCTGGGACTCGAACCAGTGCCCATATGGGATGGCAGCACCACAGGCTGTGGCTTTACTTGCTGTGCCACAGCATTTCCCCTAATACCTCACTTTCAGTACCAGATTGAGCAACTAGACTGAAGGTCAACAGGAAACTAGAGGGCTAGAGTAACACTATAAATTATAATATATATGTATATGTATATGATACTCCACCCAACAAAAGCAGAATACAAGTTCTTCTTAAGTACATGTGGAATATTCTTGGATAGATATATGGTAGGGTATATAACGTAAGTCTCAATATATTTATTTTTTTAACTTTTATTTAATGAATATAGATCTCCAAAGTACAGCTTATGGATTACATCGGCTCCCCCCCACCGCCAATGACCCCCCTGCCATCCGCAACCCTCCCCTCTCCCGCTCTCTCTCCCCTTCCATTCACACCAAGATTCATCTTCAATTTTCTATATATACAGAAGATCAGTTCAGTATACATTAAGTAAAGACTTCAACAGTCTGCACCCACACAGAAACACAAAGTGAAAAATACTGTTTGAGTACCCGTCATAGCATTAAATCTCAATGTACAGCACATTAAGGACAGAGATCCTACATGAGGAGTAAGCACACAGTGACTCCTGTTGTTGACTTTACAAATTGACACTCCTGTTTATGGCATCTCCCTATGCTCCAGTCATGAGTTTCCAAGGCTATGGAAGCCCCTTGAGTTCTCCGACTCTTATCTTGTTTAGACAAGGTCATAGTCAAAGTGGAGGTTCTCTCCTCCCTTCAGAGAAAGGTACCTCCTTCTTTGAAGACCTGTTCTTTCCACTGGGATCTCACTCACAGAGATCTTTCATTTAGGTGGTTTTTTTTTGTTTGTTTTGTTTTTGTTGTTTTTTTTTTTTTTTTTTTTGCCAGAGTGCCTTGGCTTTCCATGCCTGAAATACTCTCATGGGCTTTTCAGCCGGATCCACATGCCTTAAGGGCTGATCTGAGGCCAGAGTGCTGTTTAGGACATCCGCCATTCTGAGTCTGCTGTGTATCTCGCTTCCCAT